GGGTAGATTCTCCACTTTTCCACAGCCCACACATAGGCAAGCGCTTCACGTTCAACTGTGGAGTACTTGCGTTCAGCAGGAGAAAGTGTTCTGGATGCAAAAGCGACAACTCTCTCTCTTTGATCTGAACGCAGTTGTATCAATACCACACCCAGTCCATAATCAGAAGCATCAGTATTATAGCATAAGTTGGCAACTCAGGATCATACAGAGCTAATGCAGGACTATTGATTATCAGTTCTTTAAATGCAGTAAAGCTAGATTCTGCTTCCACTGTCCATTGAAGTTTAAATCTGTGGGGTCTCTGAGCACTGCATGTAGTGGCTCAGTAACAGTTGCAAAATCTGGAATGAATTTACTGTACCAGGATGCAAGACCAAGGAAATATGTCAGAGATGTGTCGTGCAGAGCTGGAGCATGGATCACAGCAGTGACTCTGTCCTAGTCTGGTTGAAGACCCTCTTTTGAAATGGTCTGACCCAGTTGAGTGAAGGTTGATTGAACCTGCATTTGTGCATGTTAAGTTTGAGTCCAGCATCAGTCAGGGCTTGAAGCACTCTCTTTAAATTTTCATCATGTTCTCTTTGTGCAGATCCATAGCAAATTATATAATCCAGGTATGCTGGTACACCTGGCAAACCTGCGAGGATGATCGTCATCATTTTATGGAAGGCAGATGGGGCAGATGCTAAGCCAAATGGAACTCTGCAGAAACGAAAAAGTCCATCGCGAGTGATAAACATAGTAACATCATGACTTTCAGGACGCAGAGGCATTTGGTGGTAGGCAGAGGCTAAATCAATAGTAGAAAAAAACAGTAGCCCCCTTGTAGATTTGAGAACATTTCATCCATGCGTGGTAATGGATGGCAATCAGCAACAATAACTTTATTTGGCTCACTTAAATCAACACACTTGCGTGGCTTTCCACCATCTCTCCTTTGTGTCATGACTATGGGAGAAATCCAAGGAGAAGCATCAATATGTTCAATGACGCCCTTTTCTTGGAGATCTTTGAGCTCTTCTGAAACAGCTTGTCTCACTGAAAATGTCAGTCTCCTGAGTTTTTGTTGCACTGGAACAGCATTTGGCAGTATGTGTACACAAAGTACACAAAAAAAATCACTTAAATTCAAAAATAATAATGCATTTTTGAATTGAATTGAATTTTTTTGTGTACTTTGTGTATGACAATTATGGTGTAGCTACTTCCTGAATTGACACTTCTGGAAGATTTCTGGTACAATCTTTGGCACAGCAGGTTGAACAGTAGAGGTAGGAGCAATGGTAGTAATAACTGTTCGTCCTTCAAGTTTCCTATGCAATGCCTGAATTAAATCTAAGCCAAGGAGAGCAGCACCTGACTCAACCACAACCAGATTACCTACATTAGAATGGTTATCATGAGAAATAGTAGCATTTTTAAGCACCCTTTTACAGCAATTTTCTCTTTTGTATAGATAACAAGAACAAATGTAGGTTAAGTTAGGGCACATTCTGAAAATAAGTTGTAGTAAATGTTATCTGGTATAATGGACACAGATGAGCCTGTATCTACAATCAGCTCGACATCTTTACATTGTCCATTAGCAGTCACTTGAACTGTACAGAGGATCTTGTCTTGTACAGTATTGTTCAAGTAAAGAACTGTGGGCTCATTAATGACAACTTCACATACCTCCTTTTGGGTTGAACAGCATACTCGTGAAAAATGTCCCACTTTACCAAACTTGCTGCAGGTCACTTTAACAGCAGGGCATGAAGGTTTGTTAGCAAGGTGGTTAGAAAATCCACAACGAAAGCAGGAATGGTTACCAGCAGCTTGAGCCATGGCAGGAGCAGGATTTGGCGGCGGCTTGGCTTTGACTGTTTCTTTATTCCCCTCACCAGAGCAGAAGCACCAGTAGCAGCATCAGAGAAAATGTTAGCATCCCTTAATCCACTTTCAATTTGCAATGCCAATGTAGTAGCTTTAGCAAGTGTTAGGTTTGGAAGTAATAATCAGTCTCTTATGCGAGCGTGAGAAACATGACAAAGTCCATGCTCAATAATCCAGGTATACAATCCAACATTTTTCAGTCAGGTCATCTGGACAGTTTCGGTTTTTTGTGCTGAAACATTTCGCCTTCAATCCAAAAGGCTTCATCAGTCAAGGAAACACACAACAAACCTGATTCTTCCCCCAACAGCTTACTCCAAAGTGGAACAAACCAGTTTTGTTTGTGATAAGATGCTTGATCATTTGATCACGTAGCATTTGTTCCTCTATGTTGTCAAAATCACATCAGCTAAATCACGTAGAGAAATCGGCCTTTGTGCTCTTTGTCGAAACTTGTGACATTCAGCAATGATACTCACCTTCGGCACAAACTGTTCTTTTAGAGCAGCAATAGCAGCAGCAAACATGTCTCCAGTGTTCGGCAGGGTGTAGAAAAGCCGTTGACCCTCTGTACCCAGGGCATGAAGTAGAACCGCATGCTTTCTTGCATCTGGCCAGCCGTCCCCCAACGCTGCCATCACCAACATGTAGTTTTCAAACATTTGTAGCCATGTTGAAAATGCTATGACTGGTTCCCCTGGGCATGGCATGAATGGAGTAGGTAAAGGCAGTGAATCATCCTCGTCGCCAATGTCGTGGTGTTGCAAGGTTGAATTAAGGAAAAATAAGCAGACACGTGGATCAGCTTCAGTTCTCCTCTTTTACGTTCGCGTTCGCTTTCTTTTCTCTCCGTCACTCTCCTTACAGCATCTTTTAAACAGTCTTAGACTACCCACTGGTGTCTTTTTTATGCAATAGCAATTCAGTTTCAGTTCTTCATAACATGAACACGCATGCTAAACTGCATCCAGTACAGAAGCACCTGTTGTACGACAGTGTTACCTGTTGGGCACTACAAATAATTACAATAACGTCAAACAGAATGGACAAACATAACAGTTATCTACATCCCCCTTTTTAATCTCTGAGCTTCCAGGAAAAACAAAGTTAACAAATTCCTTAGGAAAATGAACATATACAAGGTCATTGGTTACCTGAAATTAAAGATTCACCTTTAAACTTAAATGCACTGTAACCACAGTCACAAATGTAGCTTTACAGCATTAAATGAAATAAAAACATATTTTGAAAACACAAAATATAATGTCTGTGTACTCTCAATCTAAAAACTTACGGTTTGGTTTTGGTACTCTACCATATCTGGTTCGGTACAAATTGTCATCAGTAAACATTAAGCATCTGTCAGGTGTGTACTTTTTATTCAGTCGTTCTTTCATCAGTCTCTTGTTCCTGCTCTTCCTTGCCTGGTTTTGGTTGTTCAGTGTGAGTTTTTTTTCATGTTTGTTGGATTTAATTTTGTCAGGTTCAACTTTATCCATATTTTGAGACATGTCCAGTTCATTGTTATGAACTCTTCAGACTGTGGCTCATTTACAGGCAAAAGGTGTTGTCTATTGCACCTGTATTCCTTCCCATCCTACTCCACTATATAAGAGCAGAGCTCCGCACATCTCTGAAGTACAACTCCAATCTTGTCATGTCCTTTTTGTGTTCACAACCTCACTTGGTTTTGTGTTAATGGACTGAGCATCTTGCTGGTCTTGTCATCCAGTTTGATTTGCCAGAAGGAGCTCTTTGTGTCCAGAAGAGAGAAAACAGTTGCTCCTGACATCTGGGCTGCCACTGTGTGCATAGGATGATGGGGTCGTATTAATGCTTTATTTAAATTCATCGGGTCTATACAGATACAAATATCACCAGTGTCTTTTTTGTGTGTGGTAGCCATGTTGGACACCCATTTTCTGGGCTCCTCCATTGGTTCAATTACTCCTAAGCCCTGCATTCTCATTCATTATTCCAGAGTTTGGAGTTAAAGTAGGGAAGAGATTAAACAACAAATTATCAGTATACACAGGAGAAATGGTTGCAATATTACTGGCAGTTCAATGGATAGAAGATAATCAACCACTCAGATCAATCATGTGCTCAGATTCCTGTTCATCATTAATTAGTATAAAAAAATAGTTGTTCAGAAAGCAGACCAGACATACTGACAGAAATACAGCAAACGTTAATCGGAATTAAGATGATGGGGTTAACTGTTACATTTTTATGGATACCAGCTCACATAGGAATAAGAGGAAATGAAATAGCAGATCATATCAGTAGAAATAGAAAATGGCAAAAGCAATGGGAAGAAGAAACAAAAGGTCGATGGTTTTACAGAATTCAACGAAAAGCAGGAGAAATGAGAAGAGCTGAAAGAAACAGAAGGGAGGAAACGGTCATATCACGACTCAGATTTGGGCACACAGCTGGACGATAGGGAAACATAACACTGGTAAATGTGACTACTGTGGGGAAGATGAGAACATGTGCTAATGATCTGCAAGAAATGATCATGAAAGAAGGCATGATTAGACTCACTGGAATAAAAGTCAGATTCGACCCTGTACAGTTGTTACAAAGGAATTCAAGATCTGCAAGTACCGGCATCTTGCTGAGATACCTGAAATGGATTCAGTTATTTAAAAATAATATAAGTGTTATTTATTTATGCATTCTTATGGATACAACAGTCCATGCTCAATACCCTTATGGATATTTTTTTGAGCGTCATTTTACAATCCAAACCAGCAGGTGGCGGTAATGCTTCAAAACATGTGAATGCCAACCGCCAAAAGAAACCGAAGAAGAAGCTTTACTGCTTCTGAGCAAATCAGAAATAATTTGCTGCTAGTGGTTTAGTTAGCCTTTGGCACATGTCGTACATGTGAGACGGTAACGAAAGGAAGTATTGTAAAGCGTTGATTTTAAGCTAATAGTTTTATATTTAGCTGAAAACGGGTTAATACATGAAGAAGATGCTGGCAGCCGCTCATACACGCATACGAGCTGGCTTCTGCTTATGCAACCTATCTTGATTTAGTAGGCGGGGCTTGTACACATAAGCCAATCATATTTCAGCTTCCTACTTCTGAGCAAATCAGAAATAAGTTGTTGCTAGCACGTTAGTTAGCCTTTAGCACATGTGTGACATTAACGAAGTGAAGCATTGTAAACCTTTACTTTTAAGCTAGTAGGTTTGTCTTTAGCTGAAAACGGGTTGAAATATGAAGAAGAAGCATACAGTTGTAGAGGAACCAGAAAAGGTAAGAGCTTTATGATTGATTAATATCTTTTTAACAGGTTTGTAAGGCTAGCATGCAGAATGGTGAGTGCATACATGCTTTTCATGTGTTGCATTTTGGGTAAAACTTACTTGGATGAAAATAGACAGTAAAAAAAAAAAAAATACAGAAATTAGCGATTTATTAATGTGACATATTTGATGATGTTTATTCTACTTATTGTTGTACAACTCCAAGTTAGTGTACAGTTTGGCTGCTGTTGTATTTTTACAGATGAATGTTTTTGATTTCTCCCATCATGATGAGAAGGAGGAGGAAAATGAGCCCCCAGTTAAAGGCAAAAGGCACAGACCTGAGGAGGAGGAGGTGGTCTATCATCCGGTGAAACTTTCCAGAAATGATCTGTATAGACCTCCGACAGCAGAGGAGCTGAACCAGCTGAAAGAGACAGATAATCTGTTCCACTGCAGCCTCCTGAAAATGCAGGTGAGACTGCTCAGATGAAAACACAAAAGCAACACTCTTGCACACGTCTAATACAACGTGATGTCTTCTGTCGATTTAACAGATGGACGAACTGCTGAAAGAGGTTGTCCTTAGTGATCGCAGGAACCAGCAAATCAATGTCTTCATTCAGACCCTGACCAAGCTGCTGCAGAACGTGCCGGTGTCACCAATAGTTGAGGTGTGTACTGCTCTGACTAGTAAGCAAAACATCACCATTCGACACAAAATCACCTTTTTATTTTACTACCTCTGCCCATTTAGCCACAGCTATTGCAAAGTATTCTCTTGTGCGCAGGTAAATGACCTGTCTTGGCTGTCTGGTGCAGTTAAAGTGCCTTTTCTTCTGACGCCCAAAACAACAAAGGGTAAATTCCACATGGCACCTCCAGCCTCCATTGATCTGGTTGGGAGCTACCCGCTGGGCACCTGCATCAAACCAAACATTAAAGTGGACCTGGCTGTTACAATCCCAGCTGTAAGTCATCACCTGAAGCCATACAGAGAAGTTCAATGTTGTCATTTGTTGACTGCAGTGTGAAGGAACATAAACTAATGTTCTTTGTGCCATCAGGAGGTCCTCCAGCACACAGACTTTTTAAACCAGAGGTATCCGAGGAAAAGGGCTCTCTACTTAGCAGGGCTTGCCCAGCATCTGAAGTCCTCCCCTGACATCGGGACAATGCGCTTCTCCTGTCTCCTTGGAAACAGGCTTCAACCTGTTCTGCTGCTGACTCCACCGGGTATTTGAACTTAATTTTATGGCACACTGAACAAAATTTCTTCACATTTTAGCTGTATGTGGCTCATTGTTTGGAATTCCTCATGTCGTGATTTCTTAGTGAGTTGGGTTTCTTGTGACTTATCATTTAGGTAAAGACTCCTCAAGGTTCACAGTCTGTCTTCATGTCTGCCCACCTCCTGGGTTCTTCAAACCCAGTCGTTTCCACCCTAACAGGAATAATGTTAGGACAGAGTGGTACATTGGACTGCAAACATCCCACGCTGGTAAGATGGTTAACTGAGGTTAATAAACAGGTAGTTAAAATGAGTACATCCCAGTTTCTGAATCAGATGTTTACCATTTTCTAGTTTCTGGTTCGTTTGATGCAAGAATACTTAATTTTATTATTTATCATTCAGGGGTTTCCAAGATTTTGTTAAACTCTTACGTAACGTTTATGCTTCTGAACAGCCCGGTTCAATTCAAATGTCATTTGCATTGTTTCAGAGCGTAGTGAACCTCCCACTCCACACTACAACACCTCTGTTCTGGCGGACTTACTGCCCAGGGCTCACCTCCAGTTTCTTTCTGCTGTCAGCTCCCAGTGCTCAGCTTTCTCTGATGGAGTGGCTTTGGTAAAAGTCTGGCTTCGTCAAAGAGAGCTCGACCAGGTAGGAAGCCTGCAAAAGCTAACTTATCCTCTTTTATTTATTTATTATATTTTTGTTTGTTTGTTTTTTTTTGTTTGTCACATCTGCATTTTTACCTTTTAGGGCACTGGCTGTTTTAATGGATTCCTGGCCTCAATGCTCTTGGCCTATCTGCTGATCACTCACAGGATCAGTAACACCATGACAGCCTATCAGCTGCTTCGGAATTGCTTGAATTTCTTGGGTAAGAAAGTAAAAAAAAAAATCACTGAACTTATATTTTATATCTGATCATTAAATTTAACATTTCACTCATTGGAATATTTTGTGACATTCCCAACTTCTTGACTTTTAGCTTCTACAGACCTGACTGTGAATGGAATCAGCTTGGCCAAAAATCCGGACTCTACAGCCGTAAGTGATCAATTGTCTCATCGTGTGCATCAATTATTTTCCTACTTTTTATTCACGATGTTTGAATGTTTTTTCCTTTTCCCTGCAGCCATCTCTTGTGGACTTCCACAGTGCTTTTCAGGTTGTGTTTGTGGACCCTTCAGGACATCTTAACATGTGTGCTGAAATGACTGCTTGTACCTACAAACAGGCAAGTAGCATAAACATGGTTGCACGTGGATACAATATTTGCCCAGTGAGATTGACCCGTTATCATTTTTGACCCTCAGTTGCAGCATGAGGCATCGCTGTCATTGGAATTCTGGGACAACCCCACAGTAGATGGGTTCCACTGCCTCCTTATGACCCCCAAACCCATGATAAGGACAAGTGACCATGTCTTCCAGTATGTTTGTGTCTAACACTTCAAATACATCCAAACCTACTGTATATGCTGAACTCATTGTTAATGTATAGTAATGTCAGCTGTTAAACAGTGTGCTGGAGACTGAACCATACAGCCAGATGAAATCACAACAGTAAGTTTAACTCAACCAAGTCCTCACACTTGTGTTTATTTTTCCACTCTCACACAGGTTGTGTGACTTGGTAAAGCTTCAGTCCAGCTGTAAAAAACAGAATCTGCTGAGCAAGTTGATGGATCGCAGCGGAAATTATATCCAGACTGCACTACCTTTTATTCTGTCTCTGCTCCAGCAAGGACTGGGCCAAAGGATTCACCTCCTCACCCACTCTCTCTCACCTGACCTTGAGGTATCATGCTCTAAAAATACTTTCTTGCACGTTTCTAAAATAGTATATATTTAATACAACAGTTTTAAAACTTTTTCCTTACAGTGGTCTGTAGAGAGTGAAGCCCCAAAATACAAAGCTCATCCTCCCCTCTCCTTTGGTTTGCTCTTAAGACCAGAGCTGTCATCTTCTGTCCTGGAAAGAGGACCCCCTGCAGATAACCCCAAGGTAACATCACCTTACTGTTTATTACAAGTGATCATGGCTCTTTATTTCAGGTTGGGAGGAGTTTAGATGGCTTCAAATTCACCCTCAGTCAGTAGTTTAAAAATGATAAACGTAATGAAGCACGTTTATTTTTTTTGTTGTAGTTATAGTAGTCCCTTGTTTATCATGGGGGTTACGTTCCGGACCCCCCAATAGGTGAAAAACCGCGAAGTTGAAACGCTATATTTATTTTAGTACTTATATCTATATCAAGGCTTTAGAAACCCTTCCCACACTCTTACAATGCTCTAACCTCTTAAACCTACTTCATTTTAACAACATACATACATGTACTGCACAGTAGCTACGTACTGCAAACAAAACCACACAATAGTGTCCAATTCCCAATGGATTCTGTACGGCTCTCTGCATCTGCTCCGCGCCAAAGTCACTATGAATAAAGACCAAACTTTTTTGGATCAGATAAAAACTTTCCCTCCATTTCAGCAGAAGGCAATGGCTGGAAGCACTGTTGGGGATTCTGGGAAATGTAGTCCTTTTGAGTGGTGATGCAGTGTAGGCTTATTGAGAGAACTACAAAATGGCATCGCCTGTCTGAAGTATATATATTTTTCCATTAACTTTTTACTGTATCCTGTACGGTCCCAGTCATGTAATATGAAAGTTGTCAATTGTGTGTCGTGTACAATCTTTTATTTTTATCGTGTACAATCTTACTTTGAAAAACCGCAAAAGTTGAACCACGAAGTAGTGAGAGACTACTGTGTCACAAAAGTCTGTAGCATTCCATTTGCTTCATCATGGAATGGGATGCTAATCCCATGGGATTATGGGATGCTAAATCTATTTACATTAATTAGGAATGACGTTTTACGTCATGTCTATTTTCAAATTGACTAACATGTATTCCAAATTTAGAAAAAAAAGTGTTTTTCATATTTATTCCTATATAAGTCTGGTGGTAAAAATTAAACATTTTACAGTTTTTTTTTTAATACAGAAATTAGTTTGCAAACTGGTAATTTTTACTCAAGCTAATTTTTTGTTGTTTGCCATGTTTAACTCGTTTCTGTTTTGCATGTGTTAGCATGCTTGTATTTAAAAAATGTGCCGTATCGTTGCTAGGCAGCTGAGTTTCGACAACTGTGGGGCCCTCGCTCCGAGCTGCGTCGTTTCCAGGACGGCGCCATCACCGAGGCTGTGCTGTGGGATGGAAAGAGCATGTGGCAGAAGCGGCTCGTCCCTAAACAGATCATCACACACTTACTTCAGCTGTACGTATTTCACCTTAGCAGAACTTCCAGAGATCTGACCATCGAAGAGCTCAACAAGTCCTTGGTCTGTACTTAGTGGGTGGAAGAATGTCCACACGGAGCCCCGTCTCTTCACATCGTGCTTCACGGTTTTATGTCTTAGTAGCCGCAGTTTATGCCTATCATTAATCATTAAAACGAATAAAAAATAAAAGAGATGAAATTATATTGAATTTTTTTATTTATTTAGAAACTTTGTTTTAATTTTATTTTATTTACTTTGTCAGTCACGCAGATATCCCCAAGTCCTGTGTGCGATATGTTGGAGCGATGATTGATGACGTCATCAAAACAGGAAGCGAGGTAAACGTTTCTGCGTAATTATGATTCCAGTTTTGCTTATTTTTATTACTTTCAAAATGAGGTGAATGGGTAGGGGAACACAGGACCAAAATGCAGCGTAAAGCAATGAAATATTCTTAAAAAGGAAAATAAATGAGGAATGCTTGCATTTTAATATTTTATTTTGGTAACATAAGGATCTTTGCTATCATGGTCACTCACAAGTATGTTAAATACCTTTTCATTTTTCTACTATGCATTTCCTACTTGCTACTCAGTTTTTTGTTGTTGTTTTTTTTATTGTTTCTGGTGGGTTAGTGCTCAGCTGTCAAAAGATTGCACGTTTGAGTAAAGGCAGGAAAACTTTAGGAGCACAAATTAATTGGGTCAATGCAAACCCCAGTTAAAATAGCAGGGAAAAGAGGAATTTGGAGCATGGCTGCAGCCTGTGATGGTCAAGAAGGTGAAGGATTTTGCAGGAAAAAAGCCAAAGAGGTCGACATGTGGAAAGGTGAACCGGTTTTGTCCTGGAAATCGTTTAGCTGCTGCGGGAGCACGCACACCCTGTTTAAGTGTCAGTTTGATTTGCTGTTTGTGCTGCTTTAGTTCTTAGATTAAACTTTATTAGCACTAAAACACAAATATTTGTGTGCACAATATTCCATTTAAATAAATGTCCCAGTTCTTAACTTTTTTTTTTTTTTTTTTTACAAAAACTCACGTTTTCATCATGAGAGTTTCAAGCATTCATAGTTTATGTGAAATATCTGTAACTCTCAGTTGTACATGGGATGTTAGCAAAATGAACGAGGTGAGGTGATGTCTGGTCTGTGCCACCACCCGGCCGGAGTGTTAAACAGCAACGGATTGATGATGACGCACGTTAACTTTTAACTGAGTGTAAAACTTTAGTTAACCACAACATAAAGAACCAATAAACTGCGGAGCCCCGTGAGGGCCATGTCGAGAAAAAAACATGTTGCATTATGCATTTTTATTGATTTACTTGTGACTATAAAGTAGAGGAGCAAACACTGCACTGTCATGAAGAGCTACAGATCCAATGCACCACCTTCATTTTATGTAATTTAAAGTGTGGATTTTAGTACAAACTCTGTCTGCACCAAACTTATATAAGTCACATTCAGTGCTGAAGTAGGACTTGGTAAGTGACGTGTGAGGCAGTCGTCCATGTCCCCGACACTTCCTGCTCCTGTCCAGAATTTACACTTTGATCATGTTTTATCTGCTATCACTTCCATTTGATGGACGTTATCCAAGTTAAACTACGAATTCATGGTCTCTGATTTCATTTTTCACTTGTGCACATTGTTGTCCTTAATAAAATATAAATAATAATGATAATAAACATGGTGATGCTTGTTTAAATAAGTTTGAATTGAAAAGTAAATATTGAGTATTAAAACTTTGTCTTCTGTAAAACAAAACAAAAAATTGTGAAATAGTTTATATGTTGATTGTCAGTTACGTCAAAAAGGACTTTAAAATCACTTTTGGTGACATTAAAAAAAGTTTCATTAAATTTGTTTGGCTGATTTCATCAGAAAGCCAGTAAAAGTATTGTTCATCTATATGAGACGATGTCAAAAGGTCTGTGTTTGTATCAACTACTACATGTGCCTCTTGCGTTTCTACTTGTGTACATAAAATGTGATTATATTACCTGATGTCTCTTGCTGTATTTAAAGTTATTCTCCAGCTCCACCAAGGGCTTAAAAAAACAAAAAGAACATAAATACTTACAGTTTACGTGAACTGACCATGTTTAAAAGAACTTGAAGAAGAGGGGGGAAAAGTACATTTTCTGGAATAAATTTTTGTAGTTCCATTAATATCGAGTAAAAAAACGTAGTATTTTCTGTATTATCAAAAGTACCCAGTTTAAATTTTTAGTTGTAACTCAACATTTCACCTGTCCTGATCTTCAGGTGCCTGGTACTGGAGAAGAGCAGAGCTTGGTGGTGGTTCAGTCGTACGATGACCTGAGCAGGAAGTTATGGAAGCTGGAAGATCTGCCTCTTGCCATCACTGCAGTGCAGGGAGCCCACTCTGCTCTTCGATACACGCAGGTAAAAGCTCATGGGAGTTAGCTGCTACAGCTCGTGGTGGTGCTGAAGGTGTGCTGTAGACCTGCAAGATTTAAAGCTGTATGTAGATTTGGTGTGCAGCATTTTTGACTGTGTTTTTCAGGTTTTCCCCCCCGAGCCACAGAAGCTGGACTACTCCTTCTTTGACAGAGAAAAGACTTCGAGATCACTGGTGCCAAAGCAAAACAAGCCCTGTCCACGTTATATAACTCCTATCACAGGTCGGCGCCACACCTTTAGAAACGGCTCTTAACTCTTTCTACCATTATTAAACCCTTGTTATGTCTGGGTCTGACAGGATTGTTATCATTGGTGATTTAGGTTCTGATTTGGCAGCGATGAGTGTTCTGACATGTTCTGTGACAGGACAGATAGAATGTTAGAAGTTATTAATCGTGTTTGTATTATATTTTTATTTGTTCTTGTAGTGATTTGTCATATGGAGGGAAGTGGAAAGTGGCCTCACGACCGCCTCGCTATCCGCCACATTCGAGCTGGCTTTCATATTCGCCTGGCAGAGTTACTCAAGAAGCACCATAATTACACGTGCAATCCTTGTCCCACCCACCTGGATGTCTGGAAGGTATATTTTTTTTAGGTGTAATGTTAAAGACGGTTTATATTTTGTAAGTCAGTATCATTTGTTTGAGAATATTTGCTTCTGTCTCCTTTTGCTTTCAGGACGGTTTGGTGTTTCGAATCCAGGTGGCGTACCATCGTGAGCCTCAGGTCTTGCGGGAGAGTGTGAATACAGAGGGGCTGCTGGTGGTGAGGGACAACGAGGAGGCTCAGGCTCTGGAGATGGTCACTATTCACAAACCTCTACTTACCAGCACATTGCACGGGTAAAGACAACAACATGGTGCCTCCATGAAAAAAGCAGACTTCTAATGTTCTTCTGTCTATCTCACATTTACCGGTAATCTTATTCGTGTTAGTCTCCAGCAGCAGCATCCATGTTTTGGAGCAGTTTGCCGCTTAGCAAAGCGCTGGTTGGCGGCTCAGCTCTTCAGTGACGACATCACAGAGGACACAGCGGATCTTCTCGTGGCATCGCTCTTCCTTCAGCCTGCCCCCTTCACTCCTTCTAGGTAATTCTAAATTTTTATTAATTAGCGGAAATCACGTTTTCCCCAGACGCTTTGTTTTGCTCAGCAGGTCATGTGAATGAACGTCTCTTGTTTTGTCCCAGCTCTCCTCAGGTGGGCTTCCTGCGTTTCCTTCATCTGCTCTCGTGCTTTGACTGGAGGAACAACCCGCTGGTAGTCAACTACAACAACCTGCTCACAGGCAAGTGCTTCCACAAACAAATCCCCCCGCCGACCTCCTGCTCCTTTGACATACTTTAACATCCTGCCCTCATGTTTTGCTTTTTCATGCCAAGTTTAATTGTTTACCTCTGTCACGTGTAGCTGCCGACTACACAGAGATCAAGAATGACTTCATGGCGTCGAGGGACTCTCTGCCCGTCATGTTTATAGCAACGCCTAAAGACAAAAAAACGTCTTTGTGGACCAGACGAGCTCCAAGCATACAGGTTATGACACAAAAAGCAACACATTTAATATATTAGAACTCAATACAACAGCACTACATTGAGTATTAAGCATTAAATAAGGAAAAATGGGATTTGTAGGCAATAAAGTGTTTTGTTGTGTTCGATAACTTCTTCACAATGAGGATTATAAACAGCGGTGCAGAAAAGAATTGCATGTCCTCGGCAGAGAGCAGTCACATAATTTTCCAATCCGGGAGCCTTTTCTTAATGCGCACTGTTCCCCTGGATCACACTAAAAAGAAAGAAAGCATACCATTATGATTTATTTGTGTAACAATTGCTATTTTTTTTCCTGCATAAATCAATAAATACTCAGATATTTCAGATAGATGCGTTGCTCACCGCCGGCAGGTAGCCATGTTTTTTTCTTAGAGCTGGAAATTGACCGTTCTGAAGTCTTTCCAAAACCTGGTGCAAGTCATTGATCTGGGAAATTAAAATGCATTTTTGGCACACAAAAAAAAAAAAAAATCAATTAAAACTCCTAAGATGGTGAATCTAACGGACACATTTAGTTTAATTAACGGCGCAGGTTGTTGTTGTTGACCATCAGGTGCAACTCACCAGTTGCTTTTCGTTGCTGTCCTCTGTCGCAGTGAAATAAGTTGAATATTGAGTTTTGTATTCCTCTGTTTGAGTGTGAGCGTAGCTGTGAAAAAATCCCGTAGCAAACAGTTGTGCACAAAAGAGAAATGCGCACCACGCGGTCATGGTGCTAGGCTGACCCAGATAAGTTTCCTGTGCTCGCCTTCCCTGATCTTCCAACAAGCGCAGCTTTAAAGTAGTGAGACTCTCTAAACATCCTCCTTTATAAGAGTAGCAGGATATTTGTAGTGTGTGACGTCTTAATGGAGACGTCACAGTCTCTGCTTCACTTTGGCCTTGTGTATGGGGCTCCCTGCGTTACACATGACTGTTTGTTAGCCTGCAGTGGCTTTACCTGCAGTACGGCTCGTCTAAAAGAGGATCACAGAAAATACCAGGCAAACACTCACTCGTTGTTTTTTTTAAGGTATGATGAAACCTTCAATTACTTATTTTTAATGTTAATATCTAAAGCCTGCAAGTATGTAGTATTTGTCCTGTGTTCTCAAATGTGTTAGGAAATATTAAGCAAAAACCCCTCCCATACAAACCAGTAGTACAGTTGAATTGATGATGTAAAACAGCATCTCTGTGATAGGTTGCTTAATACGTGTAGACATTTAATTGAATTTAAAAGATCATAAATTTCAATAACATTATTTTCTGAAGGAGCTACGGTACATGCTCCTTCAACTAGGGATGTGCAATATGGCATAAAATTCATATCACGATATGCATTGTGAAGGATGGTGATAACGATATATATCACAATATGTTTTTTGTATAAAACTTGCAATAGGACTTTAAAAAAAAAAAAAAAAAGCATACATTGTCCTTTTGCCATCATTTATTGTGAAAACTACTATACCACAAAATAATCTCAATTAAGAAAATTCCACTACTAGGTCCAGAGAGTTTTTAAATAATAAACAAATCAAGTATTAGGCTTCTTGCTTGTAGTGCGAAATATATCAAATGTAGTTTTAGCCATATGTTTTAAACAAAATAATATGTTGTTAACTCAACAGTTTCCAGTGTTCTCACTTGAGAAATGAACAGCAACAGAGCAGCATTTTACACTGAAAACACTTCACCCTCCAAACCTCTAGTGGGCGTCTCCTTCCGCTTTAAGGAGAGCCGACACAAAATGGCGACCAGTTTCCTCTGTGGCTTTGACCAGAGGGTCTCGCAGTAAAATCACACAACACAGCGTTCTTTTCACAGATCAGAGAGCAGGTTTCTCTAAAGCTGACCAACGCTTACTTTAACTTTTGACGGGAAAAATAAAAAAAACTTTCGATGGAACTCAGCATTTTGCGCATGTGTCCGAATACGGCAACACTAAGGCAAGCGGGCTGCATTAGTTAGCTTGTAGCTTTGCTACTTAGCTCTTGAAGAAAACACTTTAACACCACTTACGCACAGTTTTCAACTAAAAAAAAGTAACTATTAAATCTGACAACTCTGATTTTTACATCAGATACAGCATTAGAGGTTAGCCGGTAGAAGACAGATTTTTTTCTACCGTGTACCATATATATCGTGCGTTCCTACCTTCAACATGTTTAGATGAAGATAAAATAAGTACATTTAGTGTATTATTCTAGACATTATCTGTATATTTAGATTTATTTTTTATTTTTTTTATTTATGATGCTGAGATTTTACACAACAGCACAGTGGAAATCCGTTTGCTTCCTTGCTTCCACATTTAAATCTGTTTTTTGTATATTTTTATGTTGAAAGTAGTTTTAAAGCATGGTGAATCTACTATGTTTTTATGATTTTAAGATTGGTAAAATAATTATTATTGTTTTATGGGCAGCCATCTTTTATGTATTTATAAAGAATTATTTAAATTTCACCAACTGATCATTGTGCTGTTGTTGCCTCTGCAGTTCCTCTTAGTGACCACTAGGGAGCAGATAATGATGAAGACATTCAGCTCTACCATGAACTGTTTGCTTTCATGGCCACAACATCTCAAATACATAGTAATGTACATTGTTAAGTACATTTCAAATTCTGACTGATTTTACATTTTCAAGATGACAAACTAAAAAGTGATGTTTCCAATCTTAAGCAAACCTCTGATTTATATTTATTTAACTTAAGTCTTCTTTGTTTTAAGCACTAACATAATAACTGATTGTGTGTTATCACAAGTATTGAGTAAATCCAAAGACACACGTTCTTTAACTTCGTTTAGCCACACAGGAAATAATTGCCACCTTGAACTGATTAGAGATGAATAATGAAATGTATCAAATGAAGATGGTATTGTTGCTGTATACATTTGATTCAAATCAAGATGCTTGTGAGGATTATCAGTTCTAAGGCTTTAGATAAGCTGAGTTCAGTGCATCAAACATCAAACTTACCAGGTGCTTGTGCAATGCTGCCTTGATTTTTCACAACTGTTTACAGATATATTTCAGTTCTAACCAAGAATTGTTCAAGCTACATTATGAATCTGTATTTATTTATTTGTTTATTTATTTATATATTGTGTGGTTTCAGATGCTGCAGCGTGTGATGTTGGTGGCAGCAGAGAGTCTGAAGGTGTTGGAACATCAGCTGATGGATGGCAGCCAGACACAAGATGTGAGGGTGGGTCTAAAGCTTTAATTCCTTCAACACTACACGATTCATTAACCCGTTATGTGTTGTAAGTTATGATTTTACTAGCACTATAACGCATGTGTCTGCATGTTTCTGTAGGTGATCATGCGTCCTCCGTTGGATGCTTACGATGTCTTGATTCATCTGAACCCGAAGCAGCTTCCTCTTCTCAGTCAAGCTGTGGACCCTCCAGCAGTCACCTTCAGCAGGGGTGTAATTACTGACGGCACGCCCCAGTCTGGAGGTGCTCTGCCTGTAATCGACTACAACCCTGTGACCCTCTACCTGACAGAGCTGAGAGTAAGACTTGGTTGTAAAGGGTTCATTTTCGATGGGAGGAGTCTTTACCTAAACATCTGCCAACAAGAGTGCGACGTTGAGCAGCTTCGTAAAGAGTCAAGATAGTTATCAACTGAAAAATATAAATATTCTTCACATGTGCACGTGGCTTTATATTTAAGGTGCTGCGTTTTCTTTCTACTTTTTCCTGTTCGTTTTCTTGTGCGTTCTAAGAGAACGATGAATTGAGGGGAGTGATGGCACAGAGGTTAGAGAGGTCGAGCCTGTGATCGGGAGAATCGGTTTGAATCCCCTGACCTTAACGTCAAAATGTGGGTGGGAAAGGTGAAACGCACACACACCTGCCTCCACCTGCATTTGCCCCACTTTATACCCTTGAGCAAAGCCCTTAACCCCCCTGCTCTTTAGGACACCCTAAATCAGGGGTGTCCAACGTGTGGCCCGAGGGCCATTTGCGAACCTTGGAGTGATTCTGTGTGGCCCTCGACTGCAATTAAATAAGTTAAATAATTTTGACCCACAGACCTAAGAGGTTAATGCAGATGTAGACCTTCTTTACATTTGATGCTGATACTTTTTAAGTATAATTTTTAGGTTTAACGGCAAAAAAGATGAAAATAATCTTCTCAAAATGAGCGAAGTTAAGTACAATACAAAAAATGTAGCTATAATTAATTCCTTTATCCTACAACAAACCTTCACTGACCTACCAAAAAGTAGAATTTTGGATAATTATTCATAAAACTTGGCTAAATTGAACAAGTGTTGTCAAAGAAAATAATTTCAGTTGAGTTAATAATCGACAGGGAGAAATTGGACATTTTTAAAAGAACAAAGTGGTGTCATCGACATACAAGTTGATCAACTTTATCAGTGTCCCTTCAAACCTTCTATGAATCTGTTTTAGCGACTGTCAGCTGTTTTTCAGAACTTTGATGACCCATTTGGGCCGTCCATGGTCCAAATGGGTGATTGAAGTTACACCCCCCTTTTTTTAAAGAACTTACTCATTTTAGGTTTTTGTTTCTGATAGGGCTAGGCAATAATTCATTATCAATATATGTCACGATATATTTTTATCAACGGTGATATGAGTTTTAAGCACATTTTTGATATTTCGATACGATTACAGCGTTTCACTGATGCATTTCTTTTTCTGTTGGGGTTGACGCAGCCGCTTCAATTTCAACCCGGACAGATAAAGCCACGACACAACTACGGAAGAGCGTAGTGACGTAGATGTTACGCAGAGCTCGAGTCCAGAAGGAGACGGCGTTATCAGGCTAGGCTAGGCTAATCTCCAATGCGCGTTAAGTATTCACTTCAAAATGAGTGCCCATGACCGTCAGAATGTGACTGAACAAGCTTTCACAAGCGAAGAGAAAGCAGATGACACATTTGGTGGTTTGAAAGTGGTTCAGCTATGTAAGATGTGATAAACTGCAGGTTTCAGTGCGCTGCGAAATGTGACGGATAATCATTCCAACTAGCGGTGGGAACACATCTAACTTGTTCCACTCGATAGAATAAGCTGAGAGTCAGAAGATGAAGCCCAATAAAAGTTTGAGCCAACTTGTCCCTGAAACAACACCCCCAGATGTATTAAGAGAAACACATGCAGCAAACGTGTTAGGGTTATGTTGTTTAAAGTTAAAACCATTAATACGGACAAAGTTGAGAGTTTTATGTTTATTTGACGGTGATTTCAAGTTTCTTTGAAGGCTAAATACAAATAAAAGGTGATCATTAACTTATTTGTGCCGTTTTTCTGAGGCTTTTATATACTTTATATCGATATCGGAATTATATCGTTATCGACCGAAATTGAGAAATATATTGTGATAAAAGTTTTGGCCATATCCTCCAGCTCTAGTCTTTGAAAATAAATGAAAATGAACTTTCAAAGCACAAGAAAAACAAATGGTCCAAAAAAAATCATTTTAATTCTTGGAAGAAGAAAAAAAAAACTAGGTTTGAGTCTCCTAATGTTCTGGATCTACAAGAATTTAAACTAAACTTTTAATATTTCTCCAAAATAGTATTCTAGTTGTTAAAATTGAGGAGAGAGAAAAAAAAATCACGCTTTAAATATATATTTTTTTCCTTTTAATTCAGATGTTTCTGGCCCGCGAGACCTTTCATCTAGACATTTCTGGCCCACCTATGAAAATGTTTGGACACCCCTGCCCCAGATGGTAGCCCTCTGCTCCACACACAGGGCTGTGGTAGCTTGATGATCAGTTGTTGCATCAGGAAGAACATTTGGCATAAAAACAAAACCCAAATCTTCCAGCAAGTTTCTGAGGAAAAAAAAAAAAAAAACGAGGAAGATGAATATTACCGTAAATCTTTATTGAAACAGGGCTTGAGGGCTCAAGTAGTTGGTATGAGCTGATTTCAAGCTCTAACAGAAAAAAGAATGGAATAAAAAAAAAAGTTTTTATGTACTAAGAAAAGTTCTGTTTTGTATTAAAATAAATATGGAAAACTGTATTTACATATTTTTTTTTATTTTTTTTGGCAGGAGGCATTCAGAGACCTGGCCCTCTTCTTCTGTGATCCTTATGGAGGAACGGTGATCTCAGTTTTATGGAAACCAAAGGCTTTTGAACCTTCACCCTTCAAGGTAAAACCTGTGCCACTATGAATTACTTTAAATGGTAATAACTCAAAAGAAATAATTTTGGACTTAACTTTTCTGCGATCGTCTTCGCATTGTTAGTTTTCTTCACCTTTTATCCTCACGCCGACATGTCGACACTCATCACTCGTTTCTTTTCATCAGACATCTCAGATATCTGCCAGGACTGTGAAGGTGACTGGGCAAGAAGTTCAAACCATTCCTAATGTAGAAGCCATACTGGAGGACTTCAAGATCTTGGGAAAGGGTTTGGTCAAATCAGTGGAAGCCAGATATGAAAAATGGACATTTTAAATTCATAGACCGCTCTCACAACATCTGTATTCTATAGATCTGAAGCTGATGTTTCAATGGAGATGAACTGTTGATAGTGTGGGTAGAACACTGACACAGTTGTTAACAGCAATATATATAGAGAGTAAAATACCTGACCTTTGTATTAATGAGGCTGTATCGTGTTGTAATAAATTTGTATCTTTTGAATTCAAACCAAATTCTTGTCATTGTTTCTGTCTGGGAATGAAACTCTAATCTAAATCTGTTTTAATTGCAAGTTCTATATATTAGTATGTAAAACTAATAATTCACCCAATTAAGTAAAGTTGTTTATTTATATAGGGCTACACAATAAACCAAGGTGAGTGGAAATTTCTGTGGAGTGTTCCAATACTATCAGTTTCAATAGATTCAGTTTCTCTCTGTTTCGTCATCATGACTCAGTGGTCCAGTGGACCAGTGGGTGGGAATGATCATTACCGACATCCGGAGCGTGAATGTAAGGCGCTTGGAAAATGCTGACATTTCTCATATTGACACAGCAGTAAAGATTGTATATGTTGTGTAACCTTTGCTTGCAGTAAAACTGAAATGATCAATTGATAAAAAATTTAAAAAACAGTTTTTAACATTTTTTTGTATTTATTGGTTTTCTTAATGTAGATTTCTGACCAAAAACATTGTTTTCCTGGAGTGTGAAAAAAAAAAAAAAACATGTTGTTGGATAAAACCTGTTATTTAAATTGATACTTTTTAAGATTAGAGACACTGCATGATGGTTAATTGCTTTTAATAATTCTCAAAATGAACTATGAATATTAAAGTTTCAATTAAAAGCAACAAGTAGTTACAGCCATGGTAACGGTGTAAATGTGCAACATTGACGTCGTTCAGTTTAAAAGTAAACAAGTCAAACTGGATTCAGTTGTTTTTCAGGTGTTTGTGGCAGTGCATGGGGTTTTCTATACTATGCACCATTTCAAAACAGAACATCAGGTGGCTTACTATCAAGCAGAGGCATGCCCGTCATGTGCATTTCAAAGATTTGAGCCTCTTGTTACTTGCAAGAGCTTGTGCTGACGCCTCCGTTTCTAAGAATCCTGTCAACGGAGTTAACAGCCACAGCCCAGAAGGCACGAAAATTTGAGATAATTAGTCCCAGCCTTTACACACAACTGCACTGTTCGAGTCAGGTGAATTTACGAAGAAGGATTGTGTATAGGTTTGGTTCAGTTTGGATTGTGCAAGCTTTTCCGCGAAGCACGTCTCCAAATGTGATGGATTTAAGTCCTGCCATAGAACTTATCTGCTCTGAACAAGTTGAGATTAGCTGAGCAGGTCATTAAAACAAAATAAAACTGTGAGCACTACAATTCAAATTTAAGTATTAATGCAACACCTAAGAAGTGATGTCTAAAATAAATTAAGAATATTAATACTGCACTGGTATAGTCTGGAAAGATTGTTTAAAGATGGGGACTGAAGAAAGCTGCCTCCACTGTCTGAGCCCCAGGGTCCAGACTTCACACTTCTTTTAGCCGAGCCACAAAAAACAGACTCCAAACCTCTGCTAAAGCAAGGACAAGAAGAGATAGAAAGAAAGAAAAAAGAACTAGGCATACTTTCAGTGATGGTGAAGTGGCTTAAAATGAGAACATCATGTCTCAGCTTGGCACCATCTGGAGCTGATAAATGTTCAGACAGGTGAACAGTTTGCTGCAGTCAGAAGGGTGTGGTGAGATAAAAGCATATAAACTTTTTTTTTTTCCTTGGAAACCTGTTTAAGGGGAACAACTTTACATGCCTTAACAGTTCGATCCATTCTTTTTAAATTTTTTCAAGTATTATGTGGAGTGTAAACAAAACGAGCAGTCAGAATCGGCATGGTTACAAACATAAATATTGCTTATTAATTTATGCAAAATACAATGCATTTTATATAAACACACACACACACACGATTTGGTTCATTAGCTAAATATGTATTAAACATTAAATTTCTTGTTTCAGAGCTGTTTTTTTGTTGTTTTTTTACTTGCAGCTGAATCACAAAAACAAGGTCCACATCACTTTTTTTTTATGAAATATTACAGAATAGATCAAATTGGAAAGCTCTTGACCAGCAAACTGGCAAAGGAACATGATTATTGTTTCCCAAATTGAGATTCAAGATTATTGTCATTCGCATCACATGTGGTACATGAGGTGAAACAAAATTATGTACTCAAGGTCCCAGTTACGCCCAAAAATAGTAAAAATATAAAGTATACAAAGAAACAATAGACAAGGATCTAAGATATACCGTAAACAATAATGTGATATACAGTGTATTACCAGTTCAGTATATAACTAGTTCATTATCTTAAAAACATACAAAACAAATCAAATGAAAAGTACACTGGATAAACATACTCACATGGGGTCTTGAAAAGTCTTCTTCCCCTGAGGAATGTTGGGGGTAACTATATGAGAAGATTGTTTAAATGTAAGTTACCCAGATCTCTGTCATGATGTCTCCTCTGGCACAGACATGTCTTTGGCCTGGATAATTCTAAGGTATTACAAGGACTCAAACTCTTTGGTATATGAAAAAGATGGTGGGAAAAGTGAACAGGAAATGAAACAAAGTATCTGCCACTGGACACTGTGGAGCACAAGAGTATCATAAGCAATATGTAAATCTATACTGGTTGATTCTTATTTAGACACTTTTTTCCATAGTTTATTGTAAACTATTCCTCAATCAAGGCGTTTGAGAGACTCGATGAATAAAGAAACGTCATGGCGATGCAGTACTTGTTTCTGGTTGTGTATCACTGGTACTTTTTACTCTCATAATCATACAGGACTGTGGATAAGGGTCTGCTGAACAGATGATGCGTTTTGTGGACTTGGCGATGGTTTACGACTGAGCTCCCTGAGGTGTTCAAAAGCTTCAGGAACATTTGGTATTGGGTTTGAAGAAATGGGTCATTTGAAATGGGCCCTTCGTGATCAAGATGAGATCTTGATCATCTTGAAAGCCTTAGGTAAAGTTGGGTTTACGTTGGTGTGAAACTCCTCCAGGCCATCCCTTTGGCTCGACGCAGCAAGTGCTACGAGTTTACAGTCTGATCCAATTAGATTTGTATCGTTTATAGAGAAAATGTTCAGCATGCAACGTTGGCGTTTACAGTCAGGACGAAAATCTGCATGTCCAGGTTTGTTACTCTGCTAAAAAGGATTGCTAATTTCCAGTGAACTGCAGCTACAAGTATAACTGTAGAAACCAGACAGACAAGCTGATCACTGAACCAAAACAATGAAACCGGATGGATGGAAAAAAAAAATGCCAAAATTGATTTTCTTAAGCAACAGTCAGGAGATAACTGTTGAGAAGAACAGCTCAGAGTTGAGTCACTGTCCTGCCACAGGACGGTGAGGTTTGAGTTTCTGATTAGAATGAATTCTGGACACCCCCAAAGACAAATCTAGACAAATATTTCCCTTATTTTTTTATTTTTTTTGGCTGTCTCATCAGGAATACACCTCAGGGCAGATTTGCAGAACATGTTGGGGAGTTTATTTTTCTCAGATAGATTAGAAACAGCTGATGGTTCTCCAGGAGGAGGTGGGAATATGGAGAGGGAGGTCTGAGGACCTTCAGTCCAGGGAACTGGATAGATGGAATGACTGAGCCAGTAATGACAGGGCTCAGCAGTGCCCTGTGACTACGGTGCACATAAATCACGTTTTATGTTCAGCATTTTAAAAAGTTCACGACCCCGATGTTTTTTGAAGTTTATTTTTAGCAAATCTACCTGAGTATTAATTTTTTTCTTTTTCTTTGTGATTACACCATGTGTGTGTGTGTGTGTGTGTGTGTGTGTGTGTGTGTGTGTGTGTGTGTATGTGTGCGTTTGGAATTACTCCTGATCTGAGCTGCGATCTGTCTTGGTCAAGACAATCTGATCAAACAATAAAATAAAGATTTTAAATCTCTCGGATCCCAGTTTAAAAAAAAAACAATAGTAAATTGTAGGATTTATATACAGTATTTCTATATAAATATAAATATATATGTACACAAAGCTTCTCCACACTGTCTTGTTTTGTGTTTTGTGAATTAAAAAAAAGTTAATTAGGTCTGTTATTTTATAATATATTATGTTTGCTATACCTGGTCATAAATGATGAACTGAAATTCATCAGAATTTTTCTAGATGAAAACTAGACTGGAAAAAATAATAATAATGCATTAATAATTGAGACACTGTGGTAAGTTTTCTTATTTTTACCTACAGTATATGCACATGTGCAAAGTATTTTTTTTCTAAATTTAGGAGTTGGTAAAATATGTTTTACAGTGTAAGGCATAAAAATGTCAAATCACACTTTTCAAAAGTCTGGATTGTACCTGTTGCACTTCTGAGCACCAGAATTTACTCTGAATCTTTCAGTATGATTTCTGAGATAAACATGAGGTTTTGTCATCTTCCAAGCAGTGGGCGTTCCCGGTGTTGTCAGCCTGTTAGGAATCCTTAACGGAACGGTATTCTGAGAACTGCACCGGTTGATATTCCAGGAACTGGCGTCTTTCTGAAAGCTTTCTATTTAAGCGCAGATCTCTTGAGTTCAAAATCTCTGGTTTGTGTCTGAACTTGTCGTTTCCACTTATCATTGTGTTCAAAATCTCCACATCACAGTCAGGAGTAGCAACAAGATTAAAACGTAGCGTGAAGCCTAAATGAAGGCTGTAAATGACAGAAAGATTTACTGTATATCTGATAATGCTTCATGTTTCGTCTTTAAAAATTATACAGCGTACATGGAAATTTACAAACCTCATGTTGTACAGTGCGTTCTGGGGTTCAGCTTCGGTGCAATATTCAGCTGTTTTAGCTTCTAGTTACAAGAAGCATTGAGATTCCACGTTGCATGACAATCTTTCTGCCTCACTTGTGCAAAGATTTGTTTAGGATTTCAGTTGGACAGCTTCCACTGTTTACTGAAAGGGAAATAAAATCCTAAGTGCAGCCCGGTTGCGAGTAAAGTATGATGAAATCCTTCTTTGTAATAGTTTGATGCTGTGAATGCGTAAGTCATTTAGTTGGCGGTTCAAATCCAGTTTAGGCAAACATTGCTGTTAGGCTTCATAGGAAGGACAGTAAAAATGTGTTGTATACAAAT